GGGGACACTATTGGCTAAAGGAAAGGAAGCGGCGGCCACGTTTGTCTCCGGGTACCGTAGAGATTTTCTTGAGGCAAGCGTCGGCAGACGTACACCTCCAAGGTAATGGACGGCACATGACTTTCCAAGAACATGGGGACAAGCAAGCAAGAACCAAGGCCTTGTGACATCCATACCTTCACCAGCGCTCCTTCGACGAGCGCCACGAAGCTCTGCCTGTTCCGCTTCGCCGTCTCGACGGAGGCGTTGAACTCATGGACCGCGGCGTTGCGGGCGCGGGGCCCAGGTTTCCTGAGGATGGCGTGACGCCTGGCGAGCCTGTGCGCCGCCGGCACTCTCTTCCACGCCTCTTGCTCCAGCGGTTGGGCCATCTGGTTCCCTAGAGACGGCGAGCCGGACAAGTACGGATTGACTCCAGCGTTCTCCTGAGCCGCTCGGAGGTGCTCGTTGAGCGTCAAGACACACGACAGCCCGCCAAGCAGCGGCCCAAGCACGGACTCGGACTCGAACTCGGCGCCGTGCGCGTACTCCTGGCGCGCTTCAAGGCCGAGGACGGCCGCCAAAGCAGCGGCACCGGCGGCGCTCCGAAGCAGCCGTAGGCTCTCGAGCCCCTCCAGAGGCTGCCACGCCTCTAGGCGCTGAGCCGTGTCCGCCCAAGCTGTCGCGTTGGCCGGTGGTGCTGTAGCCCTCGTCCCCCGCCGCCCAGCGGGGACCTGGGCTCCTGGCGGTGTTGCTTCCCCTCGCACCTCACTTAAGGCTGCAACAGCGAGCCGCAGGGACGCCCTTGCCGCTGATGGATTCCCTAGGAAGACGTGGCGAACCATCAACGGGCTAGGCGAGGTGCCCAGAAACGCTAGCAGTAGAGCACCACCCTGTTCATCGGCACTCGAGAAAATATCGTCCTGCAGGTTGCAGGCAGGGGGAGTGGGGAAGAAGCTTTGCCAAGGGTACCAAAACGGCTGCGCCGTGAGGGGCATGGGGTTTGTTGCCGTTGCACGGCAGCATGCTCCCGTGTAGGTTAATGAGGTTGTGCGACCCAGCTCAACTGGGAACGAAACATCATGGGTTCGCAATCGTGAAACAGCAGAGGACAATGGTTGTAAGAGCGCGTCTGCCAACTTCTGTGAAGGCCAAAGCAAGTAAGGGCTTGCCACCTGCCCTAAGAAACTACCGAAGCTACCGCACGCACGACACGTGGACTCGGTGTATCAAGCATGAACGTACAGAGTGAGAACCTTTGACGCCACGTGTACTACGGCAATATTTGTTCCAACCCCAGCGGAGCCACCCTCTCACTGCTACATAGTCGCACCTGCATGGCATCGAGGTGCAAACCAAGCACGTCCGCAGCCACGCGCGCGGCCTCCGCCTCCCCGGCCCCTATCGCGGCATCCCACCACCTCCGACAAACGCCCGCCGTGGTGTCCGGGCCGGCGGGACCGTCGCCTCGGCTCCTCCAAGAAAGATCATTGCCGATCTCGTCGACGCAGACGATGCCAATCAGCGCCTCGTATGCTGGACGGGCCCCTGATGCCAGCAGCTCCAGCAGCTCACTCAGCTGCATCCGTCCCGGGAGGTCAGGCGGCGGCGGCGGCGGCGGCGGCGGCGGGGGGGGGGG